AGTCCCAATACGCAAAAACAACCCGTTGGCAATGCCCACCTCCCGCCACCGCTCTGGGAACAAAGCAGCCCGAGCATGATGGCACTTGACCGGGATGGCAAGGTGCTCCGATAGGTATCGAGCCTCTGCCACGGTAGTACTACACGTAGGTATAAAAACAGAGAGTGTTTGAAGTTATTTATGTTAATGAAAGTACTGGCAACCTCCCTCTGGATGCTGCATTAACCTGCTGTATGTAACTGTATATTTACAGCTGCCAACACTTCCCACTACGAGAGCCTGTGTTGGGCTATTTAAAACTTTAACACATTTCAACCAGCAAAGGAAAAACTTTCCTTCTGAATTGTCTGCTTTGCGCTGATGGTTTTTTTTCCCTCCACGGAAAATTTCAGCCAAAATGGTTCCAAAATTGAGGCTAAGAAAAAGCTTTCATATATGTAATCATTACTTTTTCTTTTGAAAATAAAAAAAGTTTCTCTTACAAAATCTTTGAGGAGAGAATTCATATGGGAGAAAGTGCTAGGTCTTGGATATGTTGTCACAATTTAAAAGACTGCCTGAATTTAGCCAAGCTATACACTTGAGGGGGAGAAAATTATAAAAATTACCAGTTTGTTCCCACTTAAGACTTCTGTTAGTTACTAAAATCTCAGATCAGAGCCTCACTTGAGAACATTTCATCCTCCCGCAGCTCCTTTGTCCACAGGGACCTGCCTGAGCCATCCCTTTCACCGTGAAACCCTCCTTTCAAGCAGAGCTCAGACACGGTTTTAAACTACAAGGTAGAAGATTCAGACTAGATAGAAGGAAGAAATCTTTTACACTGAGGGTGGTGAAACACTGGCACAGGTTACCCAGAGAGGTGGTAGATGCCCCATCCCTGGAAATATGCAAAGTCAGGCTGGACGAGGCTCTGAGCAACCTGATCTAGGTGAGGATGTCCCTGCTCATTGCAGGGGAGTTGGACTAGTTGACCTTTAAAGGTCCCTTCCAACCCAAACCACTCTATGTGCCACCTCCACAAAGTCACAACCAGCAGCAGGGCTTGCTGGAGATTGCTCCGCACCACCACTTGTCGCTGGGTTTTACCATCCTTCCTTGGCAGCTGGATGGAAAAGATGTTTGGTTCTGGCTGATGAGAGCCAGACCCAGGAGCGGACTTTGTGAAAACACAGGGAGATCGGGAACTGGAAAGGAGGGAAAACCTCTGGAAATCAGGAGAGTGGGGAGAGGCAGGCTGGGAGCCAAATGCTTATCCCAGAGGAGGGACTTGGATTAGGAAGCAGCAGTGGGAATTAAAAATGAGTGCAATGAGGGTCTAAATGGTGGAGGGAAGGTGCTTGGGCAAGGGGCTGGGAAGAGCCAAGCTGCAGGGGCTAGGGTAGAAGGGGTAAAAAAAAAAAAAAAAAAAGCTTTTGCTGGTGAACAGGTGGTAAACAATTATAGCATTCATTCCATCAGAGCGGGAATTGAACCCCAAATTCCCAATTCTGCCATCCCTTTGCCATCAGCAAATATCACAGGCTTGCTGACAAACTCCTTCCCATCAAGAACAAGCTCTCAGAAAATTATCATTTCCCATTATTTTGTTACTTGAAATGCTAAAATGGCAGGGATCTGCATTTATCACCCCTGTGGGTGGTTTAGTGCTGCAAACTATTTTTGAAGTTTGCTTTAGAAAATAAGCAGGCATTAGAATAAAAACAGGTCCTTTTACAGAAACCCCAAGCTTTCAAAGTTAAGTGTATGCACAAGAAATGCCATAATTAATGCAGAATTAATTCAGCTGCCTTTTATCATAGTACAGTCTTCCAGCCCTCCTCTCAGCACAGGATCCCTTCCTTACTCGGTGCATCCTCTGCATCTGTCCACATGGATCTGAGCAGCAGCAACACAAGATCCCTGCTCATTCAGCACAGCATTTGGAGGATGTGAAGTGAATCAGAGTCGGGGACAAAAAGGAGAATCTCACAGCAATGAACACTGCTTTGGAGACCCTCTGTGACAAAAAAAATCATTTTACCCTTTTTTTTTTTTTTTTTTTTTTTAGGAAGTCTGGGTTTTATTTTTTGGATGTCCAATTTATTTACACAGAGAAACACCATCAGCAGCAACTGAGGCCAATGAGAGCTATCCTCTGTATGTATTAATCACTGAGTATCTTGGAAATTAAAGCTCTATGCAGGCGAGTTTGCCAATCCCAAATTTTTAAGTATATCTGATCCTCTCTGACTCTTCTGTTTCAAAAAGAGGAGAAATATCAGCCTCTTGCCTGACAGACTAGCACACTGCCTTTGTGAAGCACCCAAATCCTGTAGTCACAAATGTCACAAGTAACTCCTTCTCCAGCAATGATCGATTTGTGCAATAAACAAAGCAATGGGCCATGCCATAAA